AGAGAGGGGTGGTGAAGGTCCATTTGATTTGGCGGTAGGACCAGAGCCAGGCTGTGCAGCGGTGGTAGTGCATGTGTCTGTGGAGGCCGCAGCTTTCGCAGAGGGCGATGGTTTCGGTACACATTGTTTCTCGGTTCGTGTTTGGGGGGTTGTGATGGCGAGAGACGGTGTGGGTGACCTGCGACCTGGTGCTTCGGTGAGATGTATTAATTGTACGGCGGGGAAAAGAGCAGGCGAGTGGTGTATTTGCGGTCTCGAGGGTATGGAAAAGGAGGAAGCAATTTCCGGTCGAAGCCTTGAAATGGTGAGAATGGGAATCGTCGAGGTGTTGTCGTCAGATGACAATAGGTGGTTGCCACGAGTTTGTCGAGGTGGAAGGTACCTTCTCTGAGAAGAGGAAGAGCAGCAGACAACGCAGGAAAGAGCGACCTTGATGTTGAAGATGGAAGGAGGGCAGAGGAAGGGAAGGTGTCTATGTCTTCCATCATCTTCGTCCCTTCCTTCTTTGAAATCACAAGAATCACATCAGAGCCGGATCATCACGACTGACCGGCCAGTCACTTGATCTAAGATGTCGTCCAGTCTCTGAACACTTCCACCCGGAAAGAGGAGGACATCACTGTCCATTTTTGCTTGAAACAAGAAGTTCAGAATTTCTTAAAATTGTTAACAAAACAAAGCCAAGCCAACTCCGCATAGAGGCCGCCCAAGTAAGGACAAATACCCGTTTCACCCTGTAAGTAAAGATGCTTTTACACTTTTGTTTATGCCTCCTCTGTCACTTATTCCCCTCCTACCTGTATCTTTACTTAGTCCCTGTCTTTCTTGGACTTCTTCGCCTTCTTGTGCTTCTTCTCCCCAAGAGCCTCGTCGTAAATCTCGGCTGCCGTAGGGCCGGCCTTGCGCTTCGACTTGGCCGACTTCACGCTGACCACGCCAGTCTTGCCGTCCTTGACGGCCTGCTCTGCTTCGGCCCAGGCAGGAGCGTCACCGTCAACCTCATACCTAAGAGTTGATGTCAGTATAGTGCTCTCAAAGCTACGCATTGAAGAAAAGGGGCCTTACTGGTCAAGCGGCAGGGAGTCGATGAGCTCGCGCTGCTTCCTGCGAAGCTTAGCCAAAGCCTCATCGCCTCCCTCCTCAAGCTCGTCCTCGAGAGATGTCTCGAGGGGAACGAACTTCTTGTCGACAACCTCATCGTCGTGTACCCCAGAAGCGTTCTCCCGGCTGACACCAATGGTGTTGTTACTAGGCAGCTCAGCCTCAACGGCGGCGTTGACCAGGGATCCAAAGTGCGTTGTGATCTTGCGGAGGATCTTGATGAACATAGCCAGCAACTGCGACGACGGCAGGGACAACTCAGTGGAGATGACGTCCATGTCCTTCCTCTGCAGACCGATGGCGAGAAGGATAGCCTGCTGGACACCAGTCAACTTGATGTCGCCCTTAAGCTTGCCGGTGAAGTACAGGCCAGCGAGCGTGGGCACGAGATCGAGGATGACGTGGTAATCCAGCATGTTGTTGGCGTACGACTCGAGACGCTTCAAGTCGAATGGCGTCAGGAATCTGTCCAGCTCCACCTTTGTCAGGGCCGTGGGCTCAGTGCCGTCGAGCTTGGCGCCAATGCTGGCGGACTCGTCGATGCTCAGCGCAACAACCGACTGGAACTCCCTGAACTGATACGACAGCAGCGACTGGAAACGACGCTGGAAGTCCCGGGAGAAGGCGCCGAGCCATGACCGATCGGCGCCGGTGTTCTCCAAAGGCCGGATCATGACGCACGTGTGCTCGCCCGTCAGGTCGTTGGCCGTCTGCCGGAGGTAAACGGGCGCAAATGAGGCGCGCTTCCAGAACTTGTGGAGTGGCTGCGTCAAGCCATAGCTGACACCGACGTAGTCCAGGGCAGCGGGCCTAATCTCGGAGAATCTCGCAAACAGCGGCGGTAGCTTCTTGATATCTCTGATGTGGACGTCGTCCGCGAGCAAAGAGGTATTTGACAGCTCGGCGTCCGTAACTCTGGGAAGGGTCTCCTCCATGGCGAGGTCGGCGTCCTCGGAGAGGTTGGTGAACTTTTGCTCGTAAAAGTCGGTCAGGAGCTGCAGGGCCTTGGTGCCGTATCCCATGGACACGTACTCTGGGTTCGTCGCTATCCTCACGACACGGGCGCCTGAGAGGGAGGCGAACTCGTCGTCCTGGTACTGCTGGCTCACGAGCCAGGGGATCAAGTCACCGGAGGGGCGCTGTCCTCTGCTCAACTGGTTGATGACGCTTTGTCTGCTAATCTTTCCTTCCAGTGCGACCTGGATCACACACAGGGGCTCAGGCAGCTTGCCGTCAGATGTCGGGGCGATGAGGACGTAGAGCTCGTGGGCGGGGGCGTCACTCATCAGCTGGAGATCATCTGGAGAGTTCTTGTAGTGACTGGCGACGTAGAGGGCGACCATCTGCTGCAAGAACTTCTCAGGGATGGGGTGGAAGGAGAAGAGGGTATCTCTGTTGACCTTGAGCAGCTCGCACTGCGAAGGGTCGGGGCACCCCTGAGCGCTGGCCTTTGCCTTGGGGAGGGTGGCATCCAGGCAGAGAAGCTTGTTCAGCCACTTCTCGACCGAGTCGCCTTGGGCGTATCTGATGGGCTCAGACAGGGTGATCTCGCGGAGGGACCGGCTGGACTGGCTCGAGCCCTGATCCTTGGAGGCTCTGCCCGTCGTCCTGTCGGCAACCTCTGTGTCCTCACCGGTCTTGGCTCCAGGTCTTGACTGCTCTCTGAGCTGCTTGATCAACTTCAGCGACAGCGAGCGACCGGTACCCTCGTAACCGTTGATCGTGGAGGCCATGAAGACCAGGTAAGGGCCCATGAGCTTGCGCACCAAAGGCAGGGGAATAGCGGCAGCCTCATCGATGACGACCAACTCCGCCTGTCCGAGAACGTGGGCATCCTGAGGTCTGATGTACTGAATTGTCTGGCGATGCGCCCGGTGGATGTTGACTCTGACAATAGCCTTGTTGAAGTCGGGGTTCGTGGACTGAATGATGGAGTAGTCGGCGTGATCGGCGTATCCGAGCGCATCGAATCCCTTGAAGACGAACTCGAACAGCGTCTTCAAGTTCTCCGGGGACGGAGATGTGATGAAGATGTTGCTGTACCCGTGCGCGACAGCAGCCGCAACAGCGACACCCATGGCCGCCGACTTTCCGCGACCTCTGGCGGCCGTCAACGTGACGGTGCTCCGAAGAGTCTTCTCGGCAATGGCGTCGACAAACGTCAGCAGCGCCTTGGCCTGGTCGGTCGTCTTGGCGAGGGTAACCAGGGAGCCGACTGGTTGGGTATCTTGCAACGACTCCTTCATGTCCTCGAGCTCCTGCTCTGCCTCGGTCTTGTTGAGGTCCTTGTCGGTGGGCGGGAGCTTTACGACGCCCTTGCCGCCCGAGATGGGCAGGACGTTCATCTCGTCGTCGATGACGAGGCACGAGTCGCAGCCGCCCAGGGAGAGGATGAAGCGCTCGTTGAAGCGGGCGACGACGTCGTCGTGCGCCTCGGTGCGGTAGCGCGAGTGGATGTCCATGGACATTGTGTAGAGCTGCTTGAGCGAGGACATGCCCTTGAGCAGGAGGACCACCAGGCCGCCGCCCTCGACCGTCTCGATCGTCCTCGCGAGGATGTTTGGCGTCATGGCCTCAAAGTCTTGCAGGATGCACATGCCGAACGTCTGTCCGAGGACCTTTTCCGTCTCCTTGTAGTAGACGTAGCGGATGTTGTGGAGGGACACGAAGAGCTCGAAGGGATCGGAGTCGTTGGCTTCGCGGGTGCCGCGCTTGATTTCCTTCTTGATCTTGTTCTCGCGCTTCTTTCGGTGACTGGATTCCGAGGAAGAGGTCGGCATGTTAGCTTCTCCGTGTCTGCTGTGTAAGTGAGCCCTGCTCGAGCCGGAAGACGCACCTCGTGAAGCCCAAGAGCTTGGTCTTGTACGCCCACAACACAGACTTGTTCTGCTTGATGTTTCTAGCCATCAAGTAGTGGAGGTTGACAATGACATCCTTGGAGTGGTCACCGACCACCACGAAGAAGCTGCGCTTCTTCTCTTGGTACCCATTGCTAATGAGACTCGGGATCCGCTGGTCTCTGTATTGGATTAAAGTCAGCAATTAAATACATGTAGGGGTTCATATCATAACGAGAACTCACACTGCCTTGCGCGACATCTTGAACAGAGCTCGCAGGGGAGGAGGGACGAGGGGGAGTGAAGGCGGAAAATTGGCAGAAGGCGGGCTTGCTGAGAAGTCGGGTCGGCGCAAACCAGCTCTTAGACGTCGAGGAAATTCCCAAAAATTTGGCGGAGAGAACATTTTCTGCCGGGCGGTGGGCTTCCATGGTGGGTGCGTCTTGGTGGGGTGCCGCAACTTTTTCGTTATAGTCACGCCCCCTGACTGGGAACGCCACACCCCCTCGGACGATCTTTAAAAATTAATGGGTATCACTGGTGTATTGTACGGATAGAATAGGTGTGGTAAGACGATTTTTCAAGGGAAGTCTCTAGGCCTTGATAATTTCCGATTGATGGAACTAGTAATACACTTTTTTGTTGTACAAGATATCTCTCTGTCTCCGTCTCTCCCTTCTTATTCTTAGCGTCCCTGGATCCTGCGTCTGTCTGGCTCTCAGTAGGTATCGCGGCACGGTCATGAGTGATGGCTCTGGATGCAAACAGTTGGATGATTGCTATCTGATGCAAAGCTGTCCCCTCTCTTCTCTATATGAAGCCCGAGAAATGTGTGCACAGTCGCGAAAAGGAGATGAAATACCATCAGCGATGAATGCCCCGGCCGAGAACACCTATTATGAGGAGGAAAAAAACACCCCGCGTCTTTCCCAGATATGCTCGAGTGGGAGAAGCCGAGTCCAAAGGAGAGAAAAACACAAGGATGTGAGAAAATAAGAGACCGACGGGGCTTTGCTTGTTTTATATACAAAACCAAACAACCGAACCCCCCCAAAGCCGAGCTTAGATTCTGTCCAGCTTGCGGCGCAGGTTGCGCGTGCGCTTCATCAACTTCTTGTACTTCTTCTTCTTCATCTTGAGCTTGCGTTGGCGCTTGACGCTGAGGGCGTGCATGGTATCGTGGCCTTGCGCCTCGTCAAACTTCATCTGGCGCAGGGCCATGCGCTCGAGGAACGAGCGGGGCGCGTCGCCGCCGTCCTGCATGATCTTGGGGCTGTGGGCGAGGACCTGGACCTGGCCGTCGGCGTCGGTCGTCTCCTCGATGGTGAACATGGCCTTGTAGACGCGGTGGTGGGGGGTCTCGTCGAGGAGGTCCTCGACGGCGGACTCGGCGGCGGCGGCATGGGATGTCGCGGCGTCGGCGGTCTCGCCCATGGCCTCGGGGGCCGGGGGAGGGCGGAAGGGGACGAACTGGCCGGCCATGCTGTTGAGCTGGACGTAGACGCTCGACTCGGTGCCGTCGGGGTTCTTGAAGTCGATCTTTTGGACGGGCTCGCCTGACGCATCCGTCTCCTGGTGGCCGATGGTCATCTTGGCCATGGCGCCCTCGAGGTCATCGGTCGTCCGCGATAGTGTTGAGATGACATCGGTGACCTTGTTCGCCCTGCTCCGGGGCTTAAAGATGGCGGCGAAGGCTTCTTCCGTCACTGACTTGGGCATGCTGTGGGTCACAGATATCGGCCGGTGCAGCGAGAAAAAGGTTGACAAGCCGAGAGCTGCGCATGGTTCAGTTAGCATTTCTTCCACAAGACTCGACTTCCGCATGACTACACACCTTCTTGGGAAAGATGTTGTGTGCTGGGCACGCTGGGCAGCTTCTGCGCAGCCTCCCTATCGGCGCTGTCCTTGCTCTTTCGTTTCCGCTTCTCGCCGTTGGCCTTGCCGCTGCTGCTGGAGCTCGATGATGTCGAGGCATGGACGGACTGGCCCTGGGCAGGAATGTCCTTGGATCCGTTGTTATTCGGGTTCGAGGGGCTCGAGGAGGACCATCGTCTCTGGTGGCCACCGACGGGTCTCTGCTGAAGGGTGATGGTGGCCGTAGCCGCTCTCGGAGCGGAGGTGGTGAGGGAGGCGACGAGAGGGGACTGCGGCGCCGAAGCGACCACGCGCCGCACCGATGAGGGCAGCATTGTCGCCGGGTGCAGACCTTTGGGGGTATTGATCTGGACGGGTTCGAGAAGGAGGAGGAGGGGTGGTTTTGGAGGTGGTTGAGGCTGACGCAGATGTTGCCGACAGAGTCGGTTGATGGTTGGCAAACCCGGATTTGGCCGCAGGACGGGAAAAGCTCACGGGTTCCACTGACACCTTGTTACTTAGGCATCCGATTGTGCACAGACCACTGACACTCCTTCCCCAGAGCTTTCGAGATGGAAGACGGAAACTTGAGAAGAAACAACCTTTCAGTGCAGGAAGTGTCAGTTGGCGTATTGTTATTCTTTTTTGAGAAATGACGTTGCTTGGGGCCTCAGAGCGATATAACGCCGGTAGCGCCTCTTAATTACCATCGAGATGGGATTCCAGTCTGATTCACTCCGCCCCGTCACGGGTACACACAGCTAAGCGCCCACCACACATGACCCGGGCAGAGTCCGGTCGAACTCGCCCAATTCACCGCCCGGCCTGTTACACACCGCTCGACTGGTCCAGAACAAAATCACCCAAGACTTCTTGTCCTTGGAAGTAAACTCGCGCATGCATTTGATTGTCTTTAGTAAGAAGATCCATAACGGCCTTATCTCACTACCCCTCGAGTGAATATCCCACTTCCCCCGCTTCCTGGCCCAGCTTAACCAGCATTCTCCGCATGTTCTCAGCCCTCGTCCTCTCTTTCTCATCCAACACGCCCAAATCAACCTTATCCACCCAGCCCTTGAGCCCATGTTGCAATACATTGCGGGCTCGGAGGGTGTTCCCGTTGACATGTCCCGCGCTCCCATGCAGTGTCATGCGTTCTTTATTCGCAACGTATGCGCCGCGGTGAAGGATATTGTTGTTGTAAAAGACAATGTCGCCTGCCTTGAGTTCCACGTATAGTTGCTCAGGGATCTCCTTCTCATAAGGATCAGCGTTGCGCTCAATGTCTGTCCTGGCTCTGGTATGCGAGCCTGGGACGACGATGAGACTGTTGTCATCGTAGAGAGCCAGGTTCCACTGCGCCGAATAAGCCGGCTTATTGAGCCGATCGAGCTCCTCTTCGGCGGTAGCAGTAGCGGGGATATCATCTCTATGCCACCGCAGCTCAAAGTCCTCATTAGGCCGTATGAGCAAATTGAACAGCTCCATGACCAGATCGTCATCGGTGCACTGCAGCAGCTGTTTCGTAGGCTCAATCACGGCATCCGAAAAGTACGTCTTGATGAAGGCGGCGTTATTGGGCATGTCGGGGTGCATCATCCCCTGGACGCCCCAGATGCCGTCCGGGGGCGCTTCCGGAGTGGCGACCGGCCACGGCGGGAACTGCTTGGGCAGCGTCCGCACGTTTGGCCATTTTCCGGCGCGGGCCAGTGCTGTAGCGTTTTGAGTCGCACTTCGGAGGTCTTTGAGTTGGTCTTCGGTGAGGATTGAAGGGATGACGACGAAGCCGTCTCGGTTGAGGCGATCAAGCAGGCCGGAGGCGGTCATTTTTGCGTGAGTGTCTTTGATCGAGTGCCTTCGAGCTGGAGGGAATTGCTTCGAATGCCTTGTCTCAAGAAGACTTTTATCTCAATTTTGTCACTTTACGACAACACTTTCAGATGCTTTTCAGCCGTTCGGCGCCAGATTGACTTGCAACGTTGCAGCGGCCGACTCCGTCGCCGAAGGATCCCGGTTAAGGGTGGGGAGAATGAGGGGATGGCAGTAGCTCAGTTATCTATTGCTGCGAGTGGTGCGATGCCAGATAGCAAACGCGGAACTATGAGCTAAGTGTTTCCACTTGGTTGTCATGCAATGAGGATCCAGTCAGATATATGGTTGCCGACACATATGAGTACTAAGAAGAGATGAACGAATATAAATTACAGCGTAGGACACTTGAGGCTCCTCATCTTCCCCGCATCCATCGCTCATTGGCAGGGTTGAGCTTGTGGCCGTCTTTGAACCACGGCAATACCTCTGTTATTGTTCAATGTTAATACGTCACACTCTGTTTCCCAATGTGACTGTTCTACTGTATACCTTAGTCGATCTGAACCAGCAGGAACATTCGCTTCTTAACGGGCAACAATGGCAGGCCTATCATCATGCTTTGAGGCAACTCTTCACGTTGAGATAGAATAAGAATGGCGCAGTATGTTCCCATTGGCCCTGCCCATGACCGTTTTTTGATCACTTCAATCTCGTCTATCCTGCTTCTAATGCTCGAAATCTGAAGCCATAAATCGCTATACGACGCTGGAATCACAGCGAATTCTCAGTTCCCCCGAGCCATCCTCTAGACTGCTTCCCTCAACTGGCGGTAACCACTTCAAGCTCATCTTACTACCCAGTCCCCAATAGCCATCTATTGGCTGTTCAAGAAACTGAGGTACGAGTTCCAGCCAATGCTGATGACATTGACAAAGAGCACGCGGTGGTGAAGCGGCACAAACTTGAAGTTCACTACCTGGACGAACGGCCAAAGCATGTAGTTGGACGTGAGCGCAGTCTTGTAGTTCTTGTCGAGCTTCTCCTTGATAGAGCCGCCCTCGAGCGTGGCCATGGAGGACAGGAAGACGCTGATCATAACGGGGGCAAAGACACCCTGGTCAACGGCGACACGGGCGAGCATCTCGGCGTTTTTGTTCTTGAGGACAATGTTGTTCTGCAGAAACTTGAACCAGGTTGTGGCGACGGGGCCGAAGATGACTAGAAGCATTTCATTAGTGAGGTTGAACTCATCGGCCACAGCTCAGGTCGGCCATGAAGGCGTCGTCGCGTGTGAGTTCTCTGAGTGCAGGTAAGGGGGGTGGAGCTTACCACCGCCATAGAGGGCCATGCGGCCTGTGCGGGCCCATTCGTGCTTCTCGAGGCCGCGCTTATCGACGAGCTGCTGGGCGGTGATGTCACCGGTCGCGAAGAGGATGGCGGTGGTGATGCTCTGGGTGAGCAGCGGGCGAGCCGCGAGTCTTGCCTGATACCTAGAGATGAAATGTTTAGCGATGCAAAGCTTGGCGATATCAAGGAATTTTGTTGGCGAAGCTTACCAGCCGAGCATTGTGGATGTTTTCCGTCAGAGGGATAGAGAGAAGCTCAGGTAGAGAAGTCTGTGGGCCTGGATCTGCGCTTCGAATCCAGGGACAATGATAAAATGAGCGGAATTGAATGACGGACGGCCGGTACAGGTCGGCTGGTATCGAGAAAGGAGGGAAAGAACTTGAGCGAGCGGATGGTGTTGTGAGTTTGTTGTATGAGACAATGTGAGAGGCGACAAGTCGATTCCAAGATTTGGCAGTGAGCTTAGCTCAGGGAAGGTACCTGAGGTGAGGTACCCAGCAAGGAAGGTGCGATCGTCAGGCCGACAAGCTGCACGTGACGACCAAGCCTCCGCATTTGGCCTTCTAAGACTGGTGCGATGCAGATACAAAGTCAAGGAAATCTAGGAAATAGTTGGAAAAAGCAACGATGACAGCTACGATGAAAGGAAAAAGAGCTCAGCCTGGCCTTTGGTCAACAAATTGAGAAACGCTCCTCATATGGTTCGGAAGCTTGGGACATAGGGGCTCCCGATAAAGAAACCTTCCCTCCAAGTTGCATACTGCGCACGGGTTTTCCAAACATAGCACTCCGACTAGCTATTTCATGCAATTATCGGGGTGATATTCACTCGGCGGCTACTCACTGAGACACCTTTCAAATTCTGCCCTGACCTAAGGTACACCACTACCTCTTAAGCTTGTGCACTGAATCCCGTTGATGCAATTGGAATGAATTTGTTGATGGCCGGATCGTGAAGGGGAAAACGCATTGAATGAGCAACATTCAAGTAACTTGAATTGTGATGACTGTAGTAAGAGCCAGCTGCTTGTCTGACGACTGAATCATTGATTCCAGTATCAACTTAGACTGGCGGCCGAACTCTGCGATACTCGGACCAAATCAACGGAGGGGGCTGCTCCTTTTCCCATGCTTCCCACCTGTCCCACTCCTCATCATCATAGTCATCTGGATCCCAAGAGTCATCGACCCAGGCACCAGGTACCTTGCTCGCCTCGTCCTGGACCATGTCCCAGAACTCTCCTGCATAATCTTCGTACTCATATGTCCACCACAGCTTCCAGTGGCTTGAACAAGAACCATAAGTGATGCCGATAACAGATAATCGAGTTGCCCCAAGACAGTCTCTTGTCCAAGGGGCCCATCGCTGCCGGATATTCGTAAGGCCTTGCTTGAACATGTGCTTTTCTTCACGCCCGTAATCCAGAAGGTCCACGTTGCTGGAAGATAGCATAGCAACCCACTCAAAAAGTACTCCTATCAGCGATTCACATACTTGTCTCGCAGTCCTTAGAGTCAAGCGGTTCCCATCAATTAACGATCCGATGATTGCAAGCAAGGGTGAGGTCATGGACTTAAGTTTTGACCACCTCAAAGTTGTGTCGATGTGATGTAGACTTGGACGGTCCAGCCTGATGCCGTCATCGAGTAATCTGTTCCACCACTGTCTTGATATGGCCCACTGGTCAGGATCTGGGTGGCGGGTCTTTCTCGAAAAGTTGCCAGCCATCCCTATGACGAATGAATGAAAAAGGGAGGATCCTTCAATGTTTCTAGAATATGCAAGCATTCCGGGGTTTTCATCAAGGTGTCGAGCTTCCGGAATTAAGACACAAATTTCCCGCGCCTCCCAGCTGCAATTCGTTGCAGCTAATCTGAGATGGGACAGCCGTGTTAAAAAGGAAAATGATGTCTCGATGAGATTGTTGCGTTCCAAAAGCAATTTAAGGAAACATGAGCTAATGCCGAAACCAAGAAGAAGTGAAACTTGTTCCGAATATTCGAGGAAGTCGTCGAGGAAGTTATCTAGAAACAGCTTTCGTAGCGTAGGTTCCAAATGATGATATCGATATGACTGGTTGAACCAACCAAGCTCGTGAAGTAAAAAGGGATATCTATATTTTGTCAAAGATGTTAATATGGTATTCTCGGTGTCACAGCCTAAGGAAGTAAGTTATTACCTATTATACTGCTTCACTCTGTTATCCCACGGGTCTTGCAAGAAACATGCAAGTCCTTTTTCTAGGAAAACATCTATTACTCTGAGAGATTTCTCTGCGACTGCGATCTGTGATTGACTCAGCCTTATTAGTGGCCAAATCTTCATGTCATTGTAGGAGCGAAATTTCTCACACGCAGCAGACTTCTTCCAAATTGATCTTTTGCGAAGGGAGTCATGTTGCTTTCAGACAACAAGTGGAGAGTTCCAGAGGGGTCGTCATTTCGGATGCAGTGATATAATCCGTGACTAAAGTATCTCACAATTTCGTAAGCTCTCAGGTTGAGCTGCCAGCCCTGATAACTTTTCTGGGCCATGACTGAGTATACAGACCCAGAGAGCCAATAAGGTGCCTGGATAGAAAATTGGAAGCTGTCTTTGTCTCCAAAACCGAATCGAAAGGTAGGCAATATCGAAGCTGGGGTAGAAATGGAGCAGAGAGCGGGTGTGGTTGATACCCTTACTCTCTCTTTCTTTCTTGCCGCCGTCAGCGTGTTTGGAGCAGCTGGTCTTCTAGACCGCTCTTCGATGCTCATTGAGGTTCTAAATGTCGACATCGCCCTAGAATATGTATGGTTACAAAGCCGAACCTAAAGGAGTGGTATGTAAGGCAGTAACTCACATAATCCACTGCATCTGTGCGATGGAAAATAAACCGAGAGCTGCATCAAGCTTCGTGTCCAAGGCTTTCAACTCGTCTTTCCGAAACACAACCTTGGTTGACAACAGCTTGCTTCTGAAGCCGTCTTTTCGGGCAGTCAACTTGGCTTGTAAATCGTCCACCATATCTTGAACCTCGTCAAGTGCACGGCGGACCTTTTCAATGTGTTGCCGCAAGCGGTAGTTCGTGCTCCAGAAGGCTTGTGGCAGCGGGCTACTTTGTATGTGGTCTTCGGCATCAAGCAGGAAGTCCTCTAGATCTCTGACACGTTCCGCTTTCTGTAGAAGCATTGTTGGTACTTCCTTTACCTCGTTCCACAGTTTCATGAGCTTGAGCGTGGCGCTCCCGACTTTGGCGGTTACGTCGACCACGGCAATGACGCTCGCAGCTAGGCCGAGTGCTTCCGCCATATTCATAAGCTGAGTGTTGAGTTCCGCTTTTACCGATCAAAAGTTGGAGGTCGCCGAGGGGTTGAGCGCCGAGAAGTAAAGCCACAGGTGAGTAGTGACCGAGGTAAGGATGAATGCTTTGGGCCTTTGTTAGCTCCGTAAGATTCCGAGAGAAAAGAGGAGAAAGGTCGGACGAGAGGGGGAGGGCAGAGTCCGTAGCCTTATGAACCTCAGTGCCATGAGGCGGTGCTGAGCTCATTGGTCCAGCATGGTGCGCCATGCATGTGGTTGCGTCTGGATTTTCCATCATTTGATTCGATCGCTTCGCCCTCAACACCCTCCTATCCTGTCCGGAGCTGACTGGCGTTTGCATTGGGCAGACTCGAGGCAACTCATTGCCGTGGCTGAGCCTCACGACTTTTCAAAAGGATATTTGTGATAATCCAACCGTAGTCTCTTTTCCCTCCTCCGCAAACTTGCCTCTACTTTGCGCTCATCTTGTCTTTGAGTCCTTTTGCTACGCGCTTATACCTGAACTTACAGATTCTCATCAGTAGACACCATTCTGAACAATTCACAGTGGTGTCAATTCCCTTGTGTGGTCAGAGGATCAAAACTGGGTTGTGAGAAGATCGATGCTTTTGGCAACGTATCTCTTGCATGTCGTGAGACCACCGAATGTGGGCTTGAGTGAACCAATGCCTTACGAAATAGAGTCATGTTGACAAAGGTCGCTTCTAGGGACAGTGTGCCCTTGTTATATAGGCGGCCTAATCTTGCGATACTCAGACCAAATCAACGGACCAGTTCCTTCATGCGCCCATGATGGCACAAGCTTGGTCGATTTATCGCCGAAATCTGTGTCATCCACCCAGCTTCCTGGAATTTTGATCCCAGAATCCTCGAGCATTCTCCAAAACTCACCCGCATAACACTCAAAGTCTACCGTCCACCATACTCTCCAATGTTCTGGCAAGGGACCGTAACTGATGCCAATATATTCGATTCGATACTCTCGATTACGTTTCTTATTGCGCTTACGCGGCTCGCTGGGGTTCTGAAGCAACCGAAACGACCATCCAGGAAGCACATGACGTCTTGGCACGGTGTAGGTCGTTCGCGACTGACGACCATGTTGTAGCAGATTCACCTTGTTGCCATGCAGCATCTTCACCCAGACTTGTAAAGTCGATTGTATGATGTGGTCCGCTTGGTCTGTCGAGCATGGCTGGAAGTTGCTAAGCAGCGTTCTCATCAGCATGTGCAGCGCACTCGATGCTCTGTGGCGTGTGGTCGCAGCTTGTATGAGGCTTTCGGGATCCAGTGCGATGATCTGGCCGGCTAGACGCGCATATTCGTTAACAGAATGTGAACGGGCAGGATAACCACGGGGGGCTCGAGCAGCCCGTGCCCCGATCCCCGATGCAACGAGGCTCGGTATGAGATATTTCCTCCCTGCGAGCCGCCAGGACACCACGAGCTCTCTTGTGGGGCTTTTGAGCTCCGGAAGGACAGCAGTAAGTTGCCTCAATGTCCAAACAGAGCCACGTATTCCGCTATACGTAAAGCGAAGTCTCGATTCAAAGTAAAACCATTTTGGATTGGACGCCGGCGACTTGGAATGAAGTAGCCTGGTAAAATTACCAAAGTCTGTAAGGCCTGCGATGAACCCCATCCACTCCACTGATACACCAGTTTCTCCATCCGCCGCGTGTGAAGCGAACAGTGTAATCAAGTCGGATGGAGTATGCGAGTCTGGAGGATGCCACAACTTATTGGCAGCCTCAAAGATGAGGCTTCTTGATCGCGAGTCCCTGCAATAAGTCAGCATATTCGCGTCCGTAGAATGATACTTTCTTAATACGAACTCTAAACAATCATTCTCTTCGCTGCTGTAAGAACCAGAAAACAACCCAAAGGTAAGAAGCCATTTCGCAATATTAAGCCATCGGTTTTCGGCGCAAAGCTTACATCAGATTAGTGTCAATCACGTTTCATTGGTCGAGCGAGTAAATGAATCCACGTACATATAACAAGTTTTGCCCCTTTTCGTCTTCAACCAAGGGTGTCAGTGATGTTGATCGCAGATGTTTCATGAGAGCCTGTGGATCATCGGACTTCACGGCGTCTTCAATACCGCGGAACGAGTTGATTACCACGTAGGTTGTAAGATTGATTTGCCACCCAACCATGCTCTTGTGGCACATGGCGGAGTACACTTTGCTGCCGAGCCAACTGGGTGATCTGAGTGAAATCCGGAAGACGTCGTCTCCAAACCCAAGACGAAACCTTCCAATCGCGGTTGTGCCTTGAGACATATCAAGGTTGTCCTTGCCAGCTATGTTGGCAACAACTGGTCTGTGTTGGTTAAAGGATTCTGCCACCTCGACTTTTTGGGATGATTTCTCCGTGACTTCCGAAGGACTCAAACAATTCGGGAGCCGTTCCAATATGATGGCCGTGGAAAGCATAGTCAATTTTCTGCTCACCTCAGATCAGCCAAGCTCTGGGAAGAATTCAGTACCTAAATATCCAGTATTCACTCACGTGCAATAGGTTCCTTGAGCCACCTTGAAAAGTTCCAAAGCTCGGTCGAGCTTTCGTTCCATGTCTTCTATTGTATCTTTCTGTAAGAGAAACCTTGCAGCAGTCAATTTGCGTCGGTGCTTCCGCGGATCAGACATCTGAAGACTGAGGTCATCGATTGTATTTTGTATGTCTACCAACGCGGCGCGGGCTCGCCGGAGCGACTTTTGCATAATCTCATCGTTGATTATCGATTTAGATATAGGACTGCTCGCAGTCTGAGCTTCGGCATCTTTGAGATAATCGTCGAGATCTTGGAGCTCTTCGGCCTTTTCGAGAAGAACTGTTGGGACGTTCTTGACTTCGCGCCAGAGCGATTTAATTTTGAGAGTGAGGCCTATGGCCTTGCCGGTGACTTCGGCGACGGCGATCACGCTTGTCGCGAGACCGATTGCTTCGGCCATCGTTTGTTGGTGTGCAATGAAAGTAAGTGACAGAGGCGCCTTGGGAGCAAGAGTAGGGCTTTGTCTATTGATTTCTTCACTACGATGAGCAGGAACCGTCCGTCACTTAGGTATGTTGGAAAACTTGCAGGTTTGGGCCGCCTTCTAGGAGTTTCTCGGAAGAGGGGAAAGAACGGATCTCTGCGGCAAATGTTGTTGCGATAGGCTGCCGCCGTCGTCTGTTGGTTCAGAACGTCGTATGCAGGCGGCTGCACCTAGCCACACACCTTGGCCGGGTTTTTTGGCCTTCCACTGGGATATCATTGGACTGAACGGCTTCGTTTCCACCTGAATAATACAGTGATTGGTTATCCGAGAACCTTCGTGCTGATCGATTTGGATCACGCTGCCAAAGTGCCACTCTTATGTGGAATCCCCTGAAGAGGCGCGGTCCATATCATGCATGGTGCTCTAGACGCAGTACGTAGCATCGTCGATTGCTCGTGCGGCTGAGTATGAGCTCATTATTGAGTGAATGAGCAGATTGAATTCGAATTGTGATGCACGATATCCTATGGTATCTCCTGAACGATGAAATACCCCAACGCCATTACCTGAGAATCATGATACAGCAAGCCAGAAACGCCTTTTCCCAGAACCACACACGGCTGACTGCCATGGCGTGGCATGCCATTGACGTGTATAACCCAATGCGCCGCCGAAAAGAATGATGCCCAGAAGCGGCCCGGCTGTGATACTTAGAAGATAGACATCGAAGAGGATGGCCATCCAGAGCCGTTTCGTGCCGCCCCCGCTGCAACTCCAACACACCTCAAGCATCGCCGCTGCTCGCCGAGGTTTGTAACGGAGCAATGCGAGCACACGTGCCTGCTGCACGCACCGCAAGAGTGATCGACGCCGTAGCTGTAACCATCGTCGATATCCATCCCGTCCGCAGCGCCATCCGACGCACCAAGACCAGCGCCGCAGTCGTCGCAGCTCATCGGCGACAGCGCGCTCTGGTCCACAGACGGAGCTGAGGCGGGGCACCTGGGCTCGGCCGATTTGATATTCCAGAAGCTGTGAAGGGACTTCTGGCTGTTGCGGGCGGCAGGAACGGGTGAGGGTTCGGACTGATTCGTCTCGTGGCCTGCGTCGGCTGGGTACTGGTTGTGTTGCTGTGCGGAGTAAAGCATGTTCAGAGTACGTTCTGAGGTATGCTGTCAGCTATGTTGCCCTTCTCGATTGACGCCATAGACCAGACTTACGATGGATTTGCTCCTCCGAGGGCCTGTTGTCGCGGAAGCGCTTCATTGTGCGACTCGAGAGGTGCGATGGCGTCGCATGTGCGCGAGGATAGATGGGGCTTGGAGAGATTGGTGACTCGAAGGATTCGATGCTGGATTCGGAGCGAGCTGGCGAGGGGAAGAGGGTGACGAGTTCGGATTCGGAGCGCTTGCGCTTGTGAGCCATCTTTGTCTGGAGATCCAGGTAGAACTCTTGGAAAATAAAAGGCGGTAATTTCGGTGCTGCCTGAGATAACCGGGGCAGAATGATCGAATTGACGATGTCGTATTTGTATCAGAGTCGGGAAAGGATGGTACGGGCTGACGGGGATCAGATCGAATGGAATATCTCCATTTGCCTGTGACAAGTTGAGTGTGCGAGATGGAATGATGCTAGGGAGTGCCGGGCGCGACGCGTCTTTTGATGGTCGAGGCGCGTTATGTACGTGATAGCCCCACTGGACTTTAAGTGGTCTGGGCTTACCTAAGGACCTTAAGAGCGATAAGGCAGTGGACTCAGCAACGATGCATGCATGATTTTAGCGAATACGACAGCAACTTCACTTCCCAGACGCTTCCCAAACTATATCAGAGTAGCAAACGTTTTCAGGAGGTTAGATGCTTAAAGGAAGCAGATTACCAACTAACGTGATGTATGGATGCTTCCATACCAACGGAAGCTGTGTTCACCTGCCGTTGCGGGTGCTCGCTCCGTCCCGCGCGTGCACGCGCCACGTCCGGCCCGGAGCCTGGTCAGCGGTCCCGATCCGCCAGTTTCAAACGGTAGCTAAAAAACAAATACAAGCAGTGCCGAAACAATGCTGAATCCCACAGATATATCACCGATCAAAGCGTAGGAACTGCCATCATTGAAAATCTACATGAGCTCAATCATCTGTTTCTCTGCCTTTGCCTTGTCCCATCCCAAGCCAACTTCTTCCCCTGTACCGGGCCAGCCAGCTTCCCGCATGATCTTTTGCCTGAGACCATCGCCGTATGTCTCGTCAAGCTCTGTTTCTGCGGACCGGTATCTCTTCCCAATCTGGCCAGCCCATTCCATTTTTGACATCCAGTTCATAACCTTCCATTGCTCTTGACACATTTTGAAAAATGTATTGATGCGATAGGTCGGCGAATATCTCCAATTATGACCGAGTGTATATATGTCGACATCCTCCTCACTGTCTTCACTATCCTCTCCGTTACTTTCATCGTCTTTTTCATCTTCCGCCTCGTCTTCATCATCTCCGCCCCATTTGATATGATCCGCATCGGGAGGGATCGGTGCCTACCCGTGTGGGGTTCCTCTCTAACTCTGACCACAATGACGATGTTGTGTTCCGTCTCAAGAAGGATATCAAAGCCCTCTTGTATCTCTGCGGCCAGCACCGCCAAGGTGAACATGCTGGATGTGATCGGCACTCCTCCGCCCTCAGGAGAGTAGTCAGGATTGGCACCAATCTTGTCCTGAGGGACAGGCCGCACTTCCTCATTATACGCGCGGCTTTCTTCATGGGTCCTTCTGCAGAAAGATACGTCTGCGAAGTTACGGGGTGTATTTGATTTCATGAAGCTTATCCGATCGCTAGTGAAATACGGAATGTGCCGCATCAACTCAATGACGGTATCATTTCGGCCCAAGATGGAGAAGAATTCAGACGTAATCTGAGGCCATCCTCCGGAGGGAGGGTACTCGAGAGAAGAGACAATGTCAGGGTGTACGCGGGCGAGAAGTTCATAGTAGGATGTGATGGCAGCCACAGTGGCCTTGTGAGAGTATTCTGCTTGAGAGGAGTCGGAAGAAGACCGAACCATGATCGTGAAGAAAAGAGTTTTAGCTGGTGGTTGTGATGGAAGATGATGAGATGAGAGTAGATGATGGTCGCCAGCTCAGAATGCTACATGGAGAGTGCAGCGAAGGAGCTATAACTGAAGTAGATGGTCATTGACGAAGGGAGAAAAGGGGGAAAGAGCTTAGCCTCATTTTAGAATTTCGCTCTGAGATCCGGGTTTTGGGGTTCTTGAGCTGTTGGTAGGTTCTATGGTGTCGTTGCCCATGCCAATTTTGTTGCAAATGTTGGAGCCAAATGGGCAAACTGTTGTTGAATCCTGCCTCCCGGACAATGGGAGGGCTGGCGGAGGCACAATTGCAAAGGCAAACACGCATATTGAGAGCAAGCCTGCGTTGAAACTATTTCTGTCCCCTGTAGGATTGAATATGAGTCTTTAACCCCATCCATACCAAGACCATACTACCTCACACAAGGCACTAGTACTTTCATGAGTTAGGAAAGCAATAGCAAGTAGATGAACGGGATGACGCGAGGCCCAGTGTTGGAAGTCAGGGCCGCTTAGATAAAGAGTTGGCAATATGAGCAGTCATCATTATACCACGTATATCACCGATAAGGCTTAATCATTTTTCGAGGTAGTTTGATGAAGCTGCGCTTAAATGCAGGAGCCCACGATCTGACGAATGAGTTTCTGGAGAGATGGCCACTTTTCCTTTCACCTTCTCTATCCTCGAATAAATACTTAGGCGGCGACAATATATAAACGACAAGATTCAGGCTATGATCAATCAAGGTGGTCAGATTCCACGAAGGAACATTCCATAGGAATAAGATAGCCAGAGGAAAAGGCGGTTCAGCTTCTTCCACTGCGGGTAGCAACCTTAATCTTTGATATCTACATATGCCAACATTAAGTCTGCACTTAATTATTATACATACGGACGAGGTAAGTCCTAAAATCTTACTCTCATACTATGATTTTATGGAGAATTATGGTGGCTGCTCTCGTCTATGGTGTCGAGCTCGCTCATTTGCTGCGACCCGCCCTTCTTGGGCGTGAGCATTGAGCTTCTATACTCAGCCGCAGCTGAACTCAAACGCTTCTTCTTTTCTGACTGTTGAAGAATGAACCGAACAAAGAATTGACGAAGAGTCGGTATGCAAGCTGTGAAAATTCCAACGTAAAGCTCAAGGTCCGTCCAAATGACGCTCGGCATCATGGCCACTGCGATGGAGTAAAATGCATCAGTCCTCAGGCTTCATCGTGTGGAGCGAAGCAGTCAGAAGCTTACCGGTAGGGTTGAGCGGATCTTTCCTAAAGTCCAAGATTGCTTTGATTCGGATGCAGCTTACAACTGTGAGACTGAACCGAATATGTCAGTAACCTGCGGTGCTTTATGAGATGGATATTAAGCTAAGGTACTCACAACAGACCGAGACTGAACATGAACATGATCGCAAACTTCTTGCGGCGAGCCAGATTCATGCCCCAAACTTGTGTCAGTGGTAGAATGAGCATCCAAACGTCCAGCGCAATGTTTATCCCTGCGTGTGCCAGCGCGAGATATACAATGTTCAAACACTTCCCAGTCGCATCCCCTGTCCAGAAAGTCCATGCAAGACTCACGGGATTGCACTGGAACAGGCCAACGAAGATGAAGATGACGCCGTTCATGAGGTTAAGGGCCTGCGTGACCCACAACGCAATGGTGATCTTTTCGCCAGGCAGATGAAAAATTCGAAGGTACATGAAGAGAATCGATGCCTTGATAATGTCGATGCAGGAATGATATAATGTTTGTAGTGCATAAAAGCCCTATAAGATTTGATGTTAGCAACAATAGCCCCTGGTGCAAGTCGTACAGACGATATGACGTCCGCGGAGACGCGGCAGGCGTCGAATACCTTGAAGAAATGGGTAATCTCTGAGTCACTGAGAGTCCATAGATCTCTGCCGGCACCGTTATCCTCGACTGTTCAATCATGTCAGCGCACTTTTGGAGTTGAGAATCTCTCGGTGGCTTACGAAAGACGTGCAATGACACGTACGCCACAAGTATAATCTTCAAACATCATATTAGTGTCTTGGTCAGGCCTTTCCGGACTGGTCGGCGACCCACGTATGCCACAATAATAGTATAGTCATCCCAGCCCCACGGCGATAACCGAGCAAACTTCGTTATCAGCCGAAGGATGATGGCGAGTGTTGGAAGCATCGCGAACAGAACGATCCGAGCTACTTTCGTGGCTGGCACCTCATTGTGCAGAGGGAAATCACACGCGGTCCAGGTGATATTTTGCGTGACTGAAGTAGACGTCAGACAGATAACTTACGCACTGGGGCGGACTGAGACCTACTGATGGCGTATTTCAGCGGGCAGCTCATAACAACACATCCTTCCACGAATTTGATGAAGTCGTCATCCTGACACAGACATGTTTGATCATTCGTGGGGCAGTTCGTTTGATTGAGGCCTCCGAGGAGGCAAGGCAGCTTCACTTCAAATTAACACCGCCGTATCTAGTTGTCGATGGGGTGGTTCCAGTCTTCTTACAGCGCATGGGGGATTATCGTCGAGTGAAAGACCGGGAACATCGGGTAGAGTTGGCTGTTGGGCGAAGATTGTCGTCACACCGACGAGAAGGGCCACCAAGGTTGTCCGCATGGTGTCAATCAACGGCGGTGGCTCTGATAAGCAATCTCGAAGTTGATCTCTGGTGAACGCCAAGAAATCGAATATGGCGCGTCCTTGACGGTTTTTGTGACACCCGAAAAACACTTTCAAGAGAAAGGATAGCACCATCAGACAGGTTAGAGAGGGGGTCTTCCATTAAAACCATCACTCGTTGCACTCTGGCAACGAATAACACGCATTCCAGACAAAAGGTCCACGAGACATGGCTGCAAAAGGGTCCATCTCGGCGGCATGGCTGTTCAAAGAGCCACCTCTCCCAGGCTGACAGTCTCGCTTGATTCCGGCTACCATCGTTCGGTTTCGGTGAGGTGTCTGGGGCGAGACTCTCGTCAAATAGCAACCAGGGCGTCGATGGCTTGGAGAATCAGCCCGGATGGATCGAACGGGAGCGGGCTTGAAGACGCATCGGGCCTAGTTTGCCGGAGCGGGATCTTCATCGGTTCCATCCGGTACCTATAAATGAGCACCATACCTCGAGATCCCCGTTAGCAGATGTGATGTCTCACCCGGAATTGCCCTGAACAGACGCTAGTTTACCCGCATTTTGAATTCGATCGCGCGATTGCTAGACAGCCCCATTGCCCTAGCCGCACTTAAGCCACATCGTGGTGCATGGGAAGAGTGCATGTGATTTGCAGTACGGGAGACCTTTCCATAAGATGTAGAGTGGCTCGGTGCGAGATGGTCAAGTTTAAAAGGGTTCTCGATTCACATCGCCAGATCAGATTGACAAGATCACCCATCTCGAACGCCATTTCCTATCTCACATTAGTCCTCCGTTTTCTCCTCCGGCTTTTGTGCATAGACCACATGACTGGAAAGAAGTTAGTGAATGCACTTTGCGTGTTCACCTCGTGAGTGATGGATTTGACTCACATTGCACTACGAGCATGGAAGCTCCCAGACTTCAACTCAGTGCGCACTTGAGCAAGAAGCACCAAGACTTCCTCCTTCGTCCAGCCAAGGATGCCGCAGAAGGCCCGCAGACTGAAGCCTTCCAGTCCATCCAGAAGCTGGATCAAGTTCGTCATACCGACATCCTTGTGGTGCGGGTCCTTTGGCCAAGGACCGATAGGCATCTTGAATCTCTGATGGACCACATCGACAAATCCAGCGTCTTTGACCCAACCTTCAATATTGGGTCCAGGGCGAGGATCACGCCCAACGCTAACACATGCTTCGATGAGCAGACTCATCCACTTGGAAGTATGGTGCTTTTCGGTCAACGTGCCGTCATCCGAGACGATAGAAATATCGTAGTCCTGGAATTCAACCCAACCTCCGGGGGCCAAGTTGCTTCACATCTGATTAGCCGCGGGAGATGTTATATCGCGATGAAACGTACTCAAAGATGTTCTTAATGAGCTTTTCCCAGTCTGCGATGGAGCCCGCCATGTACCGACAGAAGATGAAGTCAAATTTGTGTTCGTTGACCCAAGGACTCTCAACGTCGTCAATCTCGAATTTCACATTGGGCGGCACCCTGGTTCTCAAGTTGTTAGCGGAACACGTCTCTGCCTAAGTAGAATATCGCCTTCATGTATCGCTCATACCATGAGGGCTGGATTGCACTCAGATCGATTCCTAGAATCTACACGCATAGTCAGAAATAGGTATTAGGCGACAACCGTTCGGCGTTGGGTATCTCGCTTAAATACCTCTGCGTTTTGGAACACATCCGCTGCCTCGATAGCCCCTAAACTCGATTCAGCATGATACGGTTAGCGTGCTACTGATCATAAAGACATACAGATTCCCGTGCCGGTGCCGATGTCAAGTATTCTATGGATACTCTGAGGCGGAATCGGAGCCAGGAAAAGCTTTCGGCCAATTGTCTTCATTATCAACATGTGATTCAAGTCTAGTCTGTCCATCTCGCTCTATACGGTTGGAACCGTATTAGTCGGTTCACGGCACTTCTTGAACAATTACAGATTTCTTCTTACTTCGTCGTTAGGTCCAAGGTACGCTGTTGAGCTGTCAGCTGCTGGGATAAATTTAAACGAAACGAGTAACCGTCACGTACTGCCCGCTCGAAACGCGTGGTAACGCCGACCGTTCTCGGTAGGATAGTCCACCACACTAGATGATAGAGACGCTGTGTAAGTCGAACTGGAAATGGCAGTCAGCATACACGCATAGAAAGGAATCGTGAAAGGCAGAAACTTGCATCCGATCGTCAATGGATGATACTGCCTCGTTGAGCTGTCGTACATGTGAGCAACATCTTCATTTAGGTATCCATCATTACTGAGAGGCTTCACGAACACTAGCCGTATCGTCAACTTCGATCTGGTTGTTTTCGGTTTGCATAGCGACATGGTCATTTTCGGCAATTTCGTTCCTTCTTGGCGAAGATGAGTTCGACCTCGGAGCCACAGCTGGCGAAGGAGAAGTGGGAGTTGAGGCTGTCATTCTAGGAGTTTAGTGTCTTTTCCGGAAACCAGCAACGAATGGGAACAAAAGAGAGGCTGTGAGCTGGGCCACTTGGATGCAAGTGAGAGATCAAGGTATCTTAAGTTGTCAACCTGGGCAAAGAGGGGTCCATGTTGCCAGCGGTAAGGTCCGGGGAACTATCCGGTGTTGGTGCAAGTCGCCGGTCTATGCATGAAATATCACATCCGAAATCAGTTCTCGCGTTCCAAGACCCACTGCCTCGCTTTTATCCGGAGTTAGAGAACGAACCAGATGTTCGTCAACGCAGCAACAGCGGGTCTCGTACCCGGCGTTGTCGTTTTCTAGGAAGCAAACCAACCGGATGGTCGACTTATTTGGCATGGATTGCAGGCATTGCATGCACGCATCGTATCATTCTGCAAGTCGGGGTTCTCAAATCGAAGATAGAGAACACAGTTCCATCCATGAGGTAACAAGCATCCCTTAGCCTACCCGAAAGTATTCTTGGCATGCTAGACTTTTGGACTATTGGCGTGTTGGCATGTTGAGTCTGCCTACCTCGAATAGTTAGGATCTCAACATCTCTGCAAGTTTATCGACCACCTCTACAATCCGACGGGAAATCAAACTGATGTGCGCCTCTTCTTGAACGACTCTGAGCTCCGCACCTCGAATCATCCCCGCTGCCTCCTGGGCCATCCGTAATGGGACGTTGACATCCTTGCTCGCATGCCAGATAACCAACTTCCCTTCCTGTACAACCAAATCCTTCAACTCGAACCCCCAAGGACTCCCGAATAGTTTCGCTTCCCACGCAAATCCACGACTACTCTCACGAAATGCCTCGCGTGTACTCTGCTCCAACACCCGCAAGATCTTGCCATCATCGGCGTACAGCGCTTCCCGATCCTCAACCGGACGACTCTTGAAGGCATCAGCCGTCGCTCGGGCGAGCCTTTCCGGGTGTTCAGCATCTCGAGCGAGATTCCCCACTTCCCAGTCGGCGATGCTCTCAATGAGACCCGGTGACCACGGCGCAATGCTGAAGAGCAGGCGGTTCATGAGCATCATGCCGCTCAGACCTAGCTCCGACGGAAACATCCCGGAGACGATTGCCACGCCGGAGAGCCGTGGTGGCGGAATGGAGTGCAGGCATGCGAGGGCGTACGGAGCACCGCCGGAGATACCTAGCACGGCGAAGCGCTGGATTTTGAGGCTGTCTGCTAGGTGAAGGACATCTTGCGGGAAGGAGAGGATTGTGCGGTTGGGTTGGAAGGTCGAACCGCCGTAGCCCGGGCGTGTTACGGCGACAACACAGATATTGCGCCTGGTGGCTTCTTCATGGACGGGTTGGCCTTCGTGGTGGGAGCCTGGGAGGCCGTGAAAGTGGAAGATTGTTGGTTGGTTTGGTTGTGGGGTGATGCCGAATGTGGTGTAGCTGAGGGTGCGGCCATCTGGGAGGCGGAGGGATTGGTCCTTTGACATGAATGCGATTGCGAAAAGACGTGTGATGAACCTCTCAAACCATTTACCGCCGTCCTGGTAAGTTGAATTGACGTTGGATCAATCTGAATGCTGATGGGCGCCACCTGGGCTAAATCGAGGGATGCGACACGATTACGTACACGAATCCTTCGATACCAAGCCAATGACAGTTTCTCATTCTGTCGACGGCCTTTAATTCCGAGTATGAGATGTGGGTCTGTTGAGGCGCAATCGAATGGATCCTATTACTTGGCAATGCTAAGAAACATAGTGAGATGAGATGTCGATTCCTTGATGTATCTGCATTAACTTATGTGCATGATGTTGATGAGAAAGTGTGTCGTAAGCTTCGAATGAGACGGTTCTTCAAGACTCGACCCTTATTATGCATCTTCCAATCCCTCCCTTGCCACTGTTCACCTTCTCACACTCTTCCTTCACCGATTTCAAGTCCGCCAGGTCCACTACTCGAAAGACGCCCTTGACCTTGCCAGTAGCGATAAGCTCCCCAGCCTTCTCCAAGTCCTCTCTGTTCTCGGGATTGCCAGACACGAATTCATGCTTGATATTGGTGCCGCGTAACAAGAACGAGTACCAAAGCTGGGCTAAATGTAACACCCAGACAACCCAGAAGGGAACCAGTGCTGGCCCAAGGAGCTCTTTTGTCAAGGTTGGCGGGGGAATAGATGCGATAGACATGAGTATGCCCGTCTTGGGGTTGAGAAGAGGTATTCCGGGACCCATAGTATTCCACTGCGTGTTGTACATGAAGTCCACGCTTCCTTTAGGTATCACAGAGCCGACGTCCGTAGTGGTGTAATCAATCAGTTCATCAACCATCCCCGGAAGATGCTGCTCAACGAGGCTCATCTTAGGAGTCGAAACCGTGGAAATAATCTTCCTGGCGCCAAAGACATTTTTGGCAACTTGGATCGCGCTGAAGCCTCCACCGCTCAGGGCTCCGGGAATGAAGACGGTCTTGCCTTCTAGCGTTTCCTGTCCTGCGATGGCGAGTCCGCGTCTAATGGTCTGATACGCCGTGACGGTGTATCCCAAAAGAGATGCAGCCTCTTCGAAGCTCATATGCGGCGGCTTGGGCAGGAAAAGTCTCTCCGGCCCAACGGCGTACTCGGAGCAGAAGCCTGGGTCGGGGATGCTGAAGGCTGGCCGCGTGAAGCACAGCCCGTAGACTGCGTCGCCTACTTTGAGGGTTTTTACGTCCGCGCCGATAGCTACGACGATACCGGAGCCCTCGCAGCCAATCTTGATGGGAAAACTGAAGACAACAAGTTGTTAGCCCTACAGATGAGGTTTTGGCCCATGGGCCAGTACTCAACGTACCTTTCTTTGCGTAGCGCAACGATCGGAGAACCCTGAGATCTCTGGCAGTCGCCCTTCATGACAGCTCCAGCCTTTACTCGAATTATCACGTCCGTGGGGCTGGTAATGGTCGGCACCGGCACTTCAGCTACTTCCCAGCCGACAGGGCTGCCGTGCTTCGGTGCGACGAGAGAGCGCATCGTCTGAGGGAGGAGGTCCATATTTGATATTCGTCGTTCTGAAGTCGATGGTGTCTAAGATGAAATCATCACGAATCGAGGTTCTTTTAAGTTTGGATAAAGGCAGGCAGCAACAAGTGTGCGACGGAGTCTTCAGGTCTCGGTCGGCGGTTTCGGTGGGGCATTCGGCGGTCTCGGCGGCACGGCCCCACCGAAAGCCCCGAATGTTTCGGCCGTCCGGAAAGGCTCGATCGCGGGGTTACACGAAGCAAAGGAGTGATGGTCTTCGAACCATTCAAAATGACGCTGAAATCAACCTCGATAGTCAACCCAGTAGATCCTGCACATTTTTGACGCGTCGCGTAGAGGATGGCTCCAACCCCCTCTTCACGCGATCTTGCCCTTTATCGGCTTTGGTGGCAGGATGAGTCAAGGGGTAACGGTCGCCCTTGCAGAAAAGAGGGAACGTGACGGGGAAAGTTGGATTGACGACGCCATCGGACTCTGTCGCGGAATTCTGCATGGCAATAACGCCCAGCGGGGAGGGAGGACTATTCCCGCCGCATTTCTTTTCTGGACACTTTCCGCCCACGGCAGGACCGCAGGAGAGAAGGAGGAGCCGTGATGGAGGGGGTCTGCGCCTGGCTCTTGGAAGATGGAATATGTAACTTGCGGGAGGTGCGATTGTCCCTTTACTTTCTAGATGTTATTTAGAGAAAGAACTACCCTCCAAATGCGTTCATCATGGAGAAGCAGCCAGCAACTGCACTCGCCTTCCCAGTGTCCTAGACTTGGGCGCCGACGTCATCGTTACTGAAGTCCGCATTGCCTCCAGCATCACGAGGACTCCTGTGTTCAAGCCAATATTGGCTGTCAGAAACCTGTCGTCCTCTTCTGTCTCTTTCTTTCGCTTGTCTGCCCTTGATTCCCCATATACCACTTTGCTGCAATGGCGCTGTTCAGGATGTTCGTCTTGTTGAGCATAGCAGTCTCATGGTGTTCTGCAGCTTTCGATCCAACTTCGAAAAACAATGTTGTTGTCTACTACGTAAGAAGACTCATTTTCAAATCGTCTTCGTGACTCTGAGACTGACAATGAAACAGGGGCAAGGTCCGAATCAGGGCGACCTAATAAACCAATGCCAGCAGCCCGAGATTGATGTAATTGTCCTCTCGTTCGTGCATCTTTTCCCAGCCCAGGCAAACGGATACCCTGGAACAAACTTTGGTAATCGATGCGGCGGCCAAGTTTACCCAGGTCCTGGCTTCAACGGTGTCATCGACCCTTCCAAAGATCAGTTGCAGTCAAATTGCCCTAGTCTCAACGCTCAGATTCCAGTATGCCAGCAGCAGTATGGCAAGAAGATATTGCTGTCACTCGGAGGTGGCGTGGTATCATACCAGCTCACAGGCAGAAACGAGGGTGAACTCCTGGCAACTTACTTGTGGTACATGTTCGGACCGAAAGATCCCAACTGGACAGGGCCTCGTCCATTCGATTACAACGGGCAAGCGGTTGAGGTTGACGGATTCGATATGGATATAGAGCATCCATCCACAGGTGTGTTAACATCTTCGCCGTCCCCTGGTCGATGCGTTCCATGAATGGCAGCTGATGCTTAGCTACCTGCAGACAATTCGGAAGGCTACATTGCCCTAGTGACCCTTCTGCGTACATTCTATGCCACAGCTTCGAAGCAATACTACCTGACTGGCGCTCCTCAATGCGTCGTTCCAGATGCCAACATGGCTGCGATGATCTCCGCCGCCAAGTTCGACATGATCTTTGTCCAATTTTACAACACCCCTAGTTGCTCAGCTGCGACTTGGGCAGCTAGCAACCCATCCTACACCCCTGGTTCAACATATCAGCAAGCCGGGTTCACGTTCGATGCCTGGGTTCAGTGGCTATCGAACACCCCAAGCAGAGACGCAAAGGTGTTCATCACCCTACCTGGTTCTTCAGATGCCGCCAATGCTGGGAACTATATCACCCATCAGCAGGCAAATAATCTCATCAGCGCGTACTACTGCCGGCCATCTTTCGGAGGCGTGGCTGTTTGGGAGGCAACTCGCGGTGACGGCAACCCCTATAACGGCAAATCTTTCCAGGCCACCATGAAAATTTGGCTGCAGGGAGCTGCAGCAGACACGCGACTCGCGAGCTGCCAAGTAGGTGAACGAATTCCAGACAGAGTATCACCCCGCTGACAAACAAGTAGGCACCATCAACAACGACAGCATCTTCTAGCCAACCGACAACATCGACAACACCGACACAGCCCAATCCCGGCGAGCCTGGTTCTTGCGGTCCCGGTGTTGGATCTTGCGGTAGCGGATACTGCTGCAGTGCATATGGATATTGCGGGACGACAAGTGCTTACTGCGGAACGGGTTGCCAGCCGGGCTTTGGCACATGCAGCGCGGGAAGCAGCTCCGGAGGCAGCTCCGGAGGCAGTTCAGGAGGCAATTCAGGAGGCAGCTCTGGTGGCAGCTCCGGTGGTAGTTCCGGCGGTAGCTCAGGCAGCGGTGGGAGCTCAGGGCTGCCGGTCGCAAGAGACGGTGCGTGTGGTGCAGGAATAGCTACTTGCCGAGGCAACGGTGACTACCAATGCTGCAGCAAGAATGGATGGTGTGGTAATTCGGATCTCTACTGTGGTGCTGGGTGCCAACCCGGTTATGGCATTTGCAGTTGATTTCGAGAGCAAAACTGGGGTCCGGTACATAGATATCTTTGGCGTGCTTGTACATGAAAAGGAATGACACCATAGTAATACAAGAGCTTAATCTTAGTTGATAAAGCTGGAGCTTGTAATTGACTGTGAATAATGTCCATGGTATGGACCGACCACACCTTTGAGAGGCTGTTACGTGAAATGGGAGGGTGATGTGCGCATCAAGCTCTTCCCTGGGCAGCGGGCAGCGAGCACAGATGCCATTCTCCACCTGCTGGGATCTTCCTCCACGACTCCACAGCCTCCCACCGTTCCACTCCATCCATCCCACTGCACATCGCCGATCCGATATTCCAACTTCACTGCCTTGCTACGCACGTATACACTTGCTCTCGAATTACAACTACCTCTTGTTAGATGACTTGGACCACAACATTGGATGACAACTTATTTCCTGGAGACGGCGAGCGAAGGCCTCGGATGGGACGTCGTCGAACCTTTAGATTCAAAGCCCGTTACTGAAACTCTCTAGTTGCCCGCGGCCCGAAGATTACTAACTAATTGTAGTAGATGCTGCCGACATGCATACTCGAAACACAGATGACAGATCCGGGCTCCTCGCCATACGGCAGTTGACAGACGCCGGAGTTTTCCCCGAATGTTACCTCATTCGCGTCTTACGACCAAACCTCTCGGCTCTCGGTGCGCCATTCGATAATGGTGGGGACACTTGGAAAACCTTCTGTGTTGTCGTTCTGTCCGTCCCATCTCGCCAGACCACTAGAAACCTCACAGGCGGCTAGACTGAGTCCAATGACTCGCCAACATCTGCTTACTCCTTCTTATTCCCACGCGTCCAGGACTACTGTGGTATGCCACCGGAACGTCAATAAGAAGCTTCTTGTAATTCGCCGAAAAGCTAATCGGCTGCCGGGCTGACAGACTGGCGTTCGACTAATCGGCCCCGAAGATGGCGGGAAAAGATGTTTCCTATTACCGGCCAGGTAATTGGACCTCTCTACAATCGATACCCACCCCTTTGCACATCTGTCGCACATGTGTCGTCCATCGAACAAAATCATCACGACTTGATTCATGAAGTGGTGGTTCCCCCGCGTATGCACGACAACCCTACCGCTATTGCTGCCGACATCGCTGCCGGTCTCTCCGCTAGGTTGATGCGGCCAACGACCGAGAAAGATGTCATCCCCATGCGTTAGGACCTCGAGCTAATCTTGGAGCCATTGGAGCCAAGATGGGAGAACTAGCCCCATCGTGAAACCCGGCTTCGAGAAGATTTGCGGACGGCCCGCTCCTCAGGGGCTCAATGCCGCAGCTTTCTTTCTTGTCAATCAGCCTCTAGCCGAACATATTGCGGGAAAGGAACCATAGCCTCGGTGCGACCTAGACTCACAACGACATCACAAACCATTACGTGATGTTCTGGCTCCAGTGCGCTGCTTGTCTTTTGCATGCCGCTAACCTTCAGATGCCCCGCAAACGATGACTCGAGTACCCTACGGATATGGACTTTTGGCAGGGGGGCTAATTATGCCGACAACTTTCGGTATGACTGCAGCATGCGATTGTATGCAGAGACATGTGTCTTTCGCCAACACTGTATTTGCGCCTTACTGCAACGCTGCGAGATACCGAACTCCACCGAATCTCCCCGCTCAAAAGAAAAAGAAGGAAGGAGATGAGATCCGTGCCGGCTCGCTAATCCATGCATCCCGTCTTTTCGATGGAACGTTCCCAGAACGCGCGTTTAAATCCTTCCAACAAAAAGCCGACCTGCCACACCAATATGACCTCACGTCAAGGATGGGGGCGACGTGCTCCAAGATAACTGCCCGAAACCTCCAATATCGGATAGCTATTATGCGTAAGCGGAGCCAGGAGGACGGCAAATGCAATGGAAGCTTTCCATCTCTTCAAACCCCAAGCAGCCGCGGATTTTATCTTCCAATTACCAAGACGATAGTCGGCGCACGTTCCATGGGCTAGATTTGGGTCGAAACCTTCACAGTCACTTCCGACAAGCACATCCATGTATCCCGACGCCTGAGGGAATACGAAGTCTTGTTAATATGAAATGGCCCTTACTTGGACAATTTCCAGTGCCCGGAGTGCAACATCCGGCACCGCTACTACGGCTCGTCCAGGAGGTTTTACGGGGTTTGATCAGGAAACCTCGAGATGGTTACACGGCGCCCGCGGCATTCCCGCCGTCTTCTTGCAGAACCAGATTAACTCCTGAGAAGCATACGTTGCCAATCTAGGGTGGGAGTTTCGCGCGAAGCATCAAGAAACTCTGCTTTGTCCTCAAGATACAGGAGGTTGTCGGCCACCTCCGCCAGCTCAGGG